TTACCGCTCCTCAACACTGCTCACTGCATCTACCGCTTGTCAAAACATTGTGCTGGCTGCTAGTTAATTCATTGTTTATTGAATATTTGGAAGGCGGGTCATTTTGCTTGTGACAATGCGGCTAGTCACAACTGTAAAAATCTGAAACTGACCAGCGTGACTGTCCATTTCCTGCAACCCAACACAACCGCACACATTCAGTCAATGGATGCAGGGATCATACGGACATTGTTAGTTGTTTTGTTTTCACGTGTAGCCGACCACCTAGGTCCTGATTCAGATATCCGAATGATTTGTTTGTCCGAACAATTCAATAAAAAACCAAAGTGTTCGGATAAACGAGGTCTGACTGTATCAAGCAAATGATGGGATCTCCACCAAAACGTTGCCTCCATTGCTGTAAACAAGTTGTCTATCCATAAAAATTGTTCCTCTTTATTATACCAGAATGGCACTTAAAGAAGTTAGTCCTTGTCGGTTCAGGTAACAGCACATCCCAATCAATGTCATGCATCATACATATTTCAGGTCTGACAGAGACAGTGGGGCAGTGGACATAGTGTTTGCTTGTCACATCACTGGCCTGTGTCCAAAATGGTTACAATGTGTGAAGCATGTTACTGGAATATTAATTATTCCATATTAATTAACTCACTAACTCACTCAGGTGATGTGATTGGCAGATGTTATATCACACCTGAATGCTCAGCATTTCATTCACAGGTTCGACTTATCAAGACTCAGTTATTTACAGGTTCAAATGACATTGCTAGACCAGACTGAAACAATCCCCCATAAGGACTTGAAAGTTTGCCTTCAGCTACCTGCCCTTGTCACAAGACTGACAGGACTTGGAGGCCATATGTGCTTGCTTGGCGTACAATTCATTCAATCCCAACAGCACTGCAAAATAAATACAGATGTGAATCTGCTTAAGGCTCTATAGTCTACCTCAGTCCCTGAACCACATTATTTTCCCTACTGCCTAGCCCTACCTGCAATGTAGTCTGTCTCACAGTCCCTGAACCACATTATTTTCCCTACTGCCTAGCCCTCCCTGCAATGTAGTCTGTCTCACAGTCCCTGAACCACATTATTTTCCCTACTGCCTAGCCCTCCTGCAATGTAGTCTGTCTCACAGTCCCTGAACCACATTATTTTCCCTACTGCCTAGCCCTCCCTGCAATGTAGTCTGTCTCACAGTCCCTGAACCACATTATTTCCCCTACTGCCTAGCCCTCCTGCAATGTAGTCTGTCTCACAGTCCCTGAACCACATTAATTTCCCTACTGCCTAGCCCTCCCTGCAATGTAGTCTGTCTCACAGTCCCTGAACCACATTATTTTCCCTACTGCCTAGCCCTCACTGCAATGTAGTCTGTCTCACAGTCCCTGAACCACATTATTTTCCCTACTGCCTAGCCCTCCCTGCAATGTAGTCTGTCTCACAGTCCCTGAACCACATTATTTTCCCTACTGCCTAGCCCTCCCTGCAATGTAGTCTGTCTCACAGTCCCTGAACCACATTATTTTCCCTACTGCCTAGCCCTCCTGCAATGTAGTCTGTCTCACAGTCCCTGAACCACATTATTTTCCCTACTGCCTAGCACTCCCTGCAATGTAGTCTGTCTCACAGTCCCTGAACCACATTATTTCCCCTACTGCCTAGCCCTCCCTGCAATGTAGTCTGTCTCACAGTCCCTGAACCACATTATTTCCCCTACTGCCTAGCCCTCCTGCAATGTAGTCTGTCTCACAGTCCCTGAACCACATTATTTTCCCTACTGCCTAGCCCTCCCTGCAATGTAGTCTGTCTCACAGTCCCTGAACCACATTATTTTCCCTACTGCCTAGCCCTCCCTGCAATGTAGTCTGTCTCACAGTCCCTGAACCACATTATTTTCCCTACTGCCTAGCCCTCCCTGCAATGTAGTCTGTCTCACAGTCCCTGAACCACATTATTTTCCCTACTGCCTGGCCCTCCCTGCAATGTAGTCTGTCTCACAGTCCCTGAACCACATTATTTTCCCTACTGCCTAGCCCTCCCTGCAATGTAGTCTGTCTCACAGTCCCTGAACCACATTATTTTCCCTACTGCCTAGCCCTCCCTGCAATGTAGTCTGTCTCACAGTCCCTGAACCACATTATTTTCCCTACTGCCTAGCCCTCCCTGCAATGTAGTCTGTCTCACAGTCCCTGAACCACATTATTTTCCCTACTGCCTAGCCCTCCTGCAATGTAGTCTGTCTCACAGTCCCTGAACCACATTATTTTCCCTACTGCCTAGCCCTCCTGCAATGTAGTCTGTCTCACAGTCCCTGAACCACATTATTTTCCCTACTGCCTAGCCCTCCTGCAATGTAGTCTGTCTCACAGTCCCTGAACCACATTATTTTCCCTACTGCCTAGCCCTCCCTGCAATGTAGTCTGTCTCACAGTCCCTGAACCACATTATTTTCCCTACTGCCTAGCCCTCCCTGCAATGTAGTCTGTCTCACAGTCCCTGAACCACATTATTTTCCCTACTGCCTAGCCCTCCTGCAATGTAGTCTGTCTCACAGTCCCTGAACCACATTATTTTCCCTACTGCCTAGCCCTCCTGCAATGTAGTCTGTCTCACAGTCCCTGAACCACATTATTTTCCCTACTGCCTAGCCCTCCTGCAATGTAGTCTGTCTCACAGTCCCTGAACCACATTATTTTCCCTACTGCCTAGCCCTCCCTGCAATGTAGTCTGTCTCACAGTCCCTGAACCACATTATTTTCCCTACTGCCTAGCCCTCCCTGCAATGTAGTCTGTCTCACAGTCCCTGAACCACATTATTTTCCCTACTGCCTAGCCCTCCTGCAATGTAGTCTGTCTCACAGTCCCTGAACCACATTATTTTCCCTACTGCCTAGCCCTCCCTGCAATGTAGTCTGTCTCACAGTCCCTGAACCACATTATTTTCCCTACTGCCTAGCCCTCCCTGCAATGTAGTCTGTCTCACAGTCCCTGAACCACATTATTTTCCCTACTGCCTAGCCCTCCCTGCAATGTAGTCTGTCTCACAGTCCCTGAACCACATTATTTTCCCTACTGCCTAGCCCTCCCTGCAATGTAGTCTGTCTCACAGTCCCTGAACCACATTATTTTCCCTACTGCCTAGCCCTCCCTGCAATGTAGTCTGTCTCACAGTCCTGAACCACATTATTTTCCCTACTGCCTAGCCCTCCTGCAATGTAGTCTGTCTCACAGTCCCTGAACCACATTATTTTCCCTACTGCCTAGCCCTCCCTGCAATGTAGTCTGTCTCACAGTCCCTGAACCACATTATTTTCCCTACTGCCTAGCCCTCCTGCAATGTAGTCTGTCTCACAGTCCCTGAACCACATTATTTTCCCTACTGCCTAGCCCTCCCTGCAATGTAGTCTGTCTCACAGTCCCTGAACCACATTATTTTCCCTACTGCCTAGCCCTCCCTGCAATGTAGTCTGTCTCACAGTCCCTGAACCACATTATTTTCCCCTACTGCCTAGCCCTCCTGCAATGTAGTCTGTCTCACAGTCCCTGAACCACATTATTTTCCCTACTGCCTAGCCCTCCCTGCAATGTAGTCTGTCTCACAGTCCCTGAACCACATTATTTTCCCTACTGCCTAGCCCTCCCTGCAATGTAGTCTGTCTCACAGTCCCTGAACCACATTATTTCCCCTACTGCCTAGCCCTCCTTGCAATGTAGTCTGTCTCACAGTCCCTGAACCACATTATTTCCCCTGCTGCCTAGCCCTCCCTGCAATGTAGTCTGTCTCACAGTCCCTGAACCACATTATTTTCCCTACTGCCTAGCCCTCCCTGCAATGTAGTCTGTCTCACAGTCCCTGAACCACATTATTTTCCCTACTGCCTAGCCCTCCCTGCAATGTAGTCTGTCTCACAGTCCCTGAACCACATTATTTTCCCTACTGCCTAGCCCTCCTGCAATGTAGTCTGTCTCACAGTCCCTGAACCACATTATTTTCCCTACTGCCTAGCCCTCCTGCAATGTAGTCTGTCTCACAGTCCCTGAACCACATTATTTCCCCTACTGCCTAGCCCTCCCTGCAATGTAGTCTGTCTCACAGTCCCTGAACCACATTATTTTTCCTACTGCCTAGCCCTCCCTGCAATGTAGTCTGTCTCACAGTCCCTGAACCACATTATTTTCCCTACTGCCTAGCCCTCCCTGCAATGTAGTCTGTCTCACAGTCCCTGAACCACATTATTTCCCCTACTGCCTAGCCCTCCCTGCAATGTAGTCTGTCTCACAGTCCCTGAACCACATTATTTTCCCTACTGCCTAGCCCTCCCTGCAATGTAGTCTGTCTCACAGTCCCTGAACCACATTATTTCCCCTACTGCCTAGCCCTCCCTGCAATATAGTCTGTCTCACAGTCCCTGAACCACATTATTTTCCCTACTGCCTAGCCCTCCCTGCAATATAGTCTGTCTCACAGTCCCTGAACCACATTATTTTCCCTACTGCCTAGCCCTCCCTGCAATGTAGTCTGTCTCACAGTCCCTGAACCACATTATTTCCCCTACTGCCTAGCCCTCCTGCAATATAGTCTGTCTCACAGTCCCTGAACCACATTATTTCCCCTACTGCCTAGCCCTACCTGCAATGTAGTCTGTCTCACAGTCCCTGAACCACATTATTTTCCCTACTGCCTAGCCCTCCTTGCAATGTAGTCTGTCTCACAGTCCCTGAACCACATTATTTTCCCTACTGCCTAGCCCTCCCTGCAATGTAGTCTGTCTCCAATCCCTGAACCACATTATTTTCCCTATTAAAGCTCTAAATGAAGCTAAGTCTAGATTTCCCCAGGTCCCCCTGAATCTCCAGTCTTAAGGCTCTAGTGTACCAGCATCGTGCTCCACAGGCTACACTAGAGTGTATAGAAGCTGGTAGTAGTACTCAGTGGACAAATACCGGTACTGATTGCCCACTCACCTGGATGGTTGATGTAAAACTGAACTTACCTCGGAGAACCTGTTGGCCTCTATCTGCAGTGCCAGCCTAAACTCATCTTCCAGGTCACCGTACTGCCGTGTCAACTCATCAATCCTGCAGCAGCAAATGCAACATGTCAGCAACCTGATTGTCCTGCACACATGTAGAGTACAAGTGGAGTACAAGTAGAGTACAAGTGGAATACAAGTAGAGTACAGTTGGAATACAAGAAGAGTACAAGTGGAATGCAAGTGAAGTATAATTACAGTACAAGTAAGATACAAGTAGAAACAAAAGTTAAGTACAAGTAGGATACAGGTGGAATACAATTGGAGCACAAATATAGTACAAGTAGAATACAATTAGAGTAAACAGGTGGAATACAAGTAGAATACATGTTAATTAACAGTGGGTTATAAGTAAATTAAGGGAATTATTAAGTAAAATACAAGTAGATTCATAAGGACAAAAGCGGAATAAAGGTAAAATATAAATGGAAGATAAGAATGATACAAGGGGAATACAAGAAAAATACAAGTGGAATGTAAGTAGTTTACAATTAAATAATAAGAAGGATTCAAGATGATTAAAAATGGAATAAACGTTTAATGTTAAGATACTAATATATATGTGGAACAGAAGCAGACTGGAATATAAGTGGAATAAACAAAGAAAGTATGTTAAATATAAAGAGGGATACAAATGGAATACACACAAGTATGGCACATGTAGGGCACAAGTAAGTCCATATGAGTGGGGTTCCAGGTGAATAGTAGTGAAATACAAGCAAAATACACATGGAATACAATTGGAATACAAGTAGAATTAGGGTTTCACATAGACTTTGAAAAAATGGGGTCAATAAGACTCACAGTAAATGTTTTTGGGAGTCATTTAAACCTTTGTTTTCGCGGTGAAGAAATACATTTAACTCTTGTTGTGTGACATATGACATCTTGTAATGTATATTTTAATGATTAAATGCATGACATAACAAAAAAACTAAAAACAAATTAGTGGAAGTTTTAATTCATCGATTTTATTTGTACTGGAGGCTGTGCATGTTACAGGCTAGACACAAGGACTACCGAACACTTCTCACAAGTTGTCAACTTGTGGGTGTGGACAATGTTTTTTTTAGGTTTATGGAAACATAAACACAAACATACATGCATATTGTTAGCCAATCAAATGCAACGTAATCACTTGTAATTTATTTATTCAGAAAAGAAACAGCTCATCAATACTGTAACCACTTTTGTATTGTGAGGTGTGGTGAGATGGTGAGGTAAGGTGAGGTGAGGTGAGTTGAAATGGGGTTTAACGTCGTATTTCGCTCATAATACGACGTGCATGCATGTGTACGTGTGGCTGCTTGTACTAGCCCAGACTTAAGCTGGTTTTATAGTGCTAGCTCACCGAGATACCATGCCGCAGTTAAGCATGAATACCCCACTCAGACACATTATACTGACTCCGAGCCAACCAGTCCTTGCTGTACCCATTAATGTCGAGCACCAGGCAGGGACCAACAAGTACCATATTTTAACGTCTTATGGTATGACATGGTCGGGTTTCGAACTTGTGACCTTAAGCTCTCCTACCACTACGCCATGGAGGTGGTACTTACGTATTTCGACAATTTAAAAGAGATATGACCCAGATTGTATGACAAACAAGTCGAATACAAGTACAGTATCAGAAGAATACAAGTATAATACAAGTGGGACACAAACAGAATACAAAAGGAACAAACACCTCATCAATACAGCAACTGTACTGTGGGGGCGGAGGGGTTGTCTAGTGATTAAAGCACCTTTCATCAAGCCGAAGACTCGGGTTCGATTCCCCACATGGGCGCAACGTGTGAAGCCCATTTCTGGTGTCTCCTGCCTTGATATTGCTGGAATATTGCTAAAAAATGGTGTAAAATTTAACTCACAATTCTATGATGAATGATCTAGGGTATGTTCATCAACCCATTCACCAAGCCTGACCACCTATCCATGTGGTCGCCTCTATGACAAAACCAGCATACTAGGTTGCGAAAACAATTTTAACCGAAATCCCCATGAGTAGAATTGTGGATGATACACAAAGAAGTGTAATAAACATGTTAGAGTAAACATTCACCAATGACAGTTTAATATATGATGGAGTATGCTCAACTTCTTGTAATGATCATGGATGTGAATTCTATGACTGCCAATGAAGCAAGTGTCATGATAACGAGGGTACTACATCTCGTCGGCTAGTGGGTGATGCTGCTTTACAACATCTTTACATCAGTTACACAAACAATGTCACGAAGATGGAAGATGTTTTGAGACAGTGGGACAGCCTGGCACCTTGATTGATTTCTTCCTGCAGAATTTGGACATGAAAATAATTCAAAAGTATTGTAGCTCACCTTCATATGTTATGTTAGTTTGTTGTTTAATGCCACGCTCGGTAATATTCAAGGTATATGGCGTCTGACTGTCTGGACCGGACAATCCAGTGACTGACATCATGAGCATCTGTTTGTTTATTTGTTGTTTAACACCACACTCAGCAATATTCCAGCTATATGAAGGCAGTTTGTAAATAATCAAGTCCAAACCATACAATCCAGTGATCAACACCATGAGCATTGATCTACCCAATTGGGATAAGATGACAAGCCTCTTATGACAAGCATGGGCTCCTGAAGACCGATTCTAACCCAGATCTTCACAGGTTACCTTGACATGTAATAAAAAACTCGGATTTGAACAAAGGACAGACATTAAACAAGAGTTGCGAAAAAATTACACTAAAGTATTTTGAAAATACAATTTATCAACAAAACATGGTGGCTATGTTGGAAATTCAGTTCAATTCTTTTGGATAATCCCCATGACAGGTAGGAACAAGCATGTGAAGCTCTATCCTAATTGGTCCAGTGGTTTCTAAGTGCGGAGATGTTTACTGATGAATCTGTCACTAGCAGATGTGGGACAAGGTGACTTGACTTTCAGTCAGGTGAGCAAAAAATAAAACAATGTCTTCCAAGTCAGTCATGTCTTCCCATCAACTACCATCTTATATCCAGAAGTGACATGACACATCACTTTCATCACCATTACCAGAGCCAAGAAACCATCAAGTAATTCATTTCCATGACCATTACTAAAAAGTTTATTAGCAATTCCTAAGAATCTCTCCACTTGCTGAAAAAGACTCCCATCACTGTAGGATGCAGCAAACAAAGCCACTTTAAGAAGAGGCAGTCAATCATATGACCAAATCACTGCTAATAAGGCTGACATTTAACAAGACATTTCTTCACAGAAGTGATTGGATTTTAGGATGCCAGCCGACATCCTTATCATGATTAAAACTTGACATGTGACTTGGAAATTGTACGAGTCTGATAAAGCCAATCTGAAGTACTTGAATTTTTGCAATTTGAGACTTCTGACACCCAATTATTTAATGCTGTTAGGTAACTGCTTGGGACTTCTTCAAGTGCTTCTGCTCAACAGGTTTCATGAGAGTTGTGTTTTTAGCACATCGATCTGTTTGCGGTGTAAGGATCTGCTGTTTGTTATTGATTTGGGAGTTTGGCAAGGAGGTAGGGATTTTGAGGGGTTTTTATTAGGGGGTTTTGAGGTTTAGATTCTGGTTGGAAGTTGGGGTGTTCAGGTAGAAGATCAAGTAGGTCATTGGCAAAAAGGTTTTCAGTATAGATGTCCTGGTGAGCAAACTAACAATTGGATTGGAATCCCTTTGACAAATCTCATCATTCATTTTCCATCGTCAACCATGGGTAAAAGAGACCATGGTATATTATGAATTACCATGGAGAAAATAGATCATGGTGTATCATGAATTAACCACATGCGGTAAATCTCTTTGACAAATCTCATGATTCATTTTCCAAGAATAATGGTGTTTTTTCAAACATAATTTCAAGATGATGATGGAACTGTATGAGAAGGTATGACCATTTTTATGTCTCAAAAACCTGGATAATGACTTGTTACAAAATGTAAATGAACACAAATTGTATGAAGAATGGGTGAATGAATGCTGGGGAGTAAGACCATTCTGAGCGCTTTTTCACTTCTATGAAGGCATGGGTCAGGTTGATGTGGGAGGTTGGTTGGTGGTTGTTCAACGCCACACTCAGCAGAATTCCAGCTATATGGCGGTGGTCTGTAAATAATCAAGTCTGGACCAGTCAATCCAGTGATCAACAGCATGAGCATCGATCTACGCAATGGGATACGATGACATGTTCAACCGTCAGCCAGCCTGACCACCCAATCCTGTTAGTCGCCTCTTATAACAAGCATGGGTTGCTGAAGATCAATATTCTAACCCGGACCTTCACAGGTCTGTGGGAGGAAAGCCTGAGGAGAAACGCTTGATGAAATCATTGAATACATATCTTGTGAACAGAAATACAAACCCTAAATCATCGGTTTCTGGCATGCCAAGGGGACACAACTCTACACAGCAAATTGTGATGCCTGAGAATACTGGTTTACCAACGCCCTCCGATAACTTTGAACCAGATAAACCAAAACATAAACTTAACGACCAGTTTGTTACCAAGTCTTTATGAAAATTGTATTTATTTATTTGATGAACACATAAAATTGACTAGTTGTCTGTCAAGGAGATCCTGAAACCGGATACCACAAAAAGAAATAAGGCTGCTCAACAGTGCTGAAGTGATAGCTAACTTTCCCTGAACTTAGGATTACATTTTAAACCAAAACTGAGGAGGAATCTTTAAATGTTTAACTTATGGACGATCCAGATGCAAGGATTATCGAAAGGACTATGAAAACAGTGGGATACCATCCAGTGAAGCAACACAGAATTCATTATGTGAAACATCTGCAATCTCCAGTCACTGATCTATAGATCATAGACAGTTGCGTTTCCGATATAAAGACCTGGATGAACACAAGGAAACTCCAACTGAATGATGACAAAACGGAGTTGCTCGTCCTTGGAAATTCCAAACAGCTACAGAAAACCTCCATCTGCAATGTGAAGATTTCAACATCTCACATTCCACCTTCCCCTGTCACTAAGGATCTTGGAGTATATCTTGATGCAAGTTTGTCTTTGGAATCGCA